TTGTTTTTTTGTGAGACACCTGTTATAGCTAAGACTTAAAAATATTAAAAGCTATTTTTTAAAAAAAATAACTTTTATCCACCCTGCAATAAGAATCTTGTTTATATATTATGTGGCTCCTCATTTCTCAATCTACTCTACTGAAACCAAACTACCAACAGTTATTTGAAATCTTAGGACACTGCATGACTGGATTAGAAGCCAAGGGGTATGCTTGATTTTCCATTCATGCATCTCTTCCTCAGTCTCAATGCCTATTTTAGGTACACTATTCCACTCTGAATAAGAAAAACAAAGGACAGACTGGCTAAGTTTTCATTTAACTACGTTAAAATGTACAATTATTTACAAGCATTTTCATTATTTTTGTTACTCTGAATTTGCAAGAGAAAGAAATGGTGTATCAGTTCTCAAATCAAACTAAATCAAAAAACTACATTCACAGACTTGCATGATAAAGCATGAGAGACTGTACCTTCCTCATCCACCTCCACCCATTGGTGGTGGAGCTGGGCCTCCACCAAGGTGTTTTATTTGACCCATTCTACGGCGAGGAAATCCAGGAGGTCTAAGGAAGGAACACAGCAAAGAAATTAACAACAATTCTATCTCCAAGAGCATTCTGAAAATCATACTCGGATGCAACACTGCACTATAGTTACTCCTTCAATATAATTTACCAAGTAAAAGATCGTAGGATAGCTTCAATTATTCTGAAGTGTTTTGCAAAGTATGAAAGCTATGATTAAATCATATGCATAAAAATTGCTATCCGAATTCCTGCAAAAACACTGTTGCAAAGAGAACCATTCCAGTTTTCTCAATGACTCTCAATTCCCCATGACAAGAACTACAGAATTTACAAACATCCCTTTCCGCATATAAAGAAAAAGTATATAAGCCAAGGGGTAAAATTCCTATTTTTATCTACACACAATTTTTATATGTACAATTCTTTAAAAATAAGGAAGCACTTTACCAGCAAAGCCTGAAATACTCATACCTGAAACTGGAAAATACTAATAACTTTAAAAGCAGGGTGGGGCGCACGACCTCTACATATAAGATTTTCTATGAAGTTCACATGGCAATGAGCTTGGAAATTGTGAGCCATTCCCAAGTTGTATAAATGTTTAGCATGAAATACAGCCCTACTTCGCAAAACTTGCCTACCGTGAAAAATGGACAGATGGACAGCCTATCTGCAAAGGTCCTGGTTGTCACCAACAGTGCAACCCTAAGAATGCTTTCCTGGGAGTAAGCCCCATTGAATAGCCCCATGCTTGAGATTGCTATCCAAAGATTTTATATGTATGCAGAGGGGCAGCTCCTGTGCCAAACTTACCAGCAGGCTGGGGCAGGGCTGGAAGCACAAGGGCCCCCTTCTGGCAGCTAAGTGTTCCCTGCCCTCTATCAGCAGCAAGGGTGGGCCAGGAAGGAAGCTAAGCATGCTCCCTTGGTGAGGTCACCACCAACAAATTATTCGGAGGGCTGGAAGCTAAGCATGCTCCTTTGGTGAGGTCACCACCAACAAATTATTCCTTTAAAACACCGCAGCTGCTACTTCCACTGGCCAGCAAATGGGAGCCTACAGCAGCCATGGAGGTATTGGGCAAAGGAGATGGTCCTGCCTATTGGAAGCTCTGTGCAAGGGTTGTTCTCTCTCATGAGGAGTAGGCATGCCTCCCTTTAAAAAGGTTCATGCATGGGCCAGGGAGGAGTGGGGAAGACCTAGGGGAAGCCTTGAGGAAGCAGTCAAGGGTGGGTATTAACTCCTGCCCACTCCATGAGGCCAGTCAAACTGAAGCACTGGATGGGCTATAGGATCTCTGAAGTAGGAGCTCCAAAACTATACAATGCAGTGGGAAAAGACATGAGAACCAGAAGCTTGCTCCTGCTTCCCATCAAGTCTAAAAGTTACATGTTGTGATTGTGTATGAAGTAGACTTAAATATCTTCCACTTCTATCCAACATGAAGTGCATTACGTACATGGCTGTATACAGGGCTCTTTTTGTAGAAAACGCCCAGCAGGAACTAATTAGCATAATAGGCCACACCCAACAGCAGAAACTCATTACCATATTAGGCCCCACCCTGACAGCACAGCTCATTAGCATATTAGGCCACAACCCCATGTTACCAGAAGTGAGGTCATCCAGCCACACCCACCTTTTGCTTCTTATTCTGTTTACCTTGTTTGTTGTCAAGACCCAGGGCTTTTTTTGTAGCAGGAACTCCTTTGCATGTTAGGCCACACACCCCTAATGTAGCCAATTCTAACGAGTTTCTGCTGTTGGGTGTGGTCTATTATGCTAATGAGTTCCTGCTGGGCGTGGCCACCTCGGGAGCCAGCCGGAACTCCATTCCTGTGCTTTCCTGCCCAAAAATAGCCCTGGCTGTATATAACTTAAGAAGCTCCTTTTAACCAAGACAGAACAAGAGTTTCTCACAGCATGGGCAAATAACAGCAAAAAAGCCCCATACCCTCTTCCATCATCATATCCTGAGAAGGAGGAAGCTACATTGCCTCTTCTTGCCACATGTGGGTTAATGATGCTCTGGATACTAAAACAAAAGAATCAAAGTTAGCATTAAGCAAATGTCAAAAATCAAGTTTTTTTTCAGCAGGACTTCTGCAAGCTTAGTTAATGATGTTCAAGTACTACTGAGTAATCCTGTAGTATAAAGCTTGTGAAAAGCTTTACAATTCATTTGCTACTTTTAATTCTGAATCAAGGTTAACAAAATAATCCCTACTTTTTTTAATCAGCTGAACATTGAAATGAGAGTTGGTAAACTATTTACATTTGAAAAGAAATTTCGCATTATGAAAATTCAGTTTAAATTCAGGATTTACTCACAAACCCTGAAAGCCTCCTAAGATATATATCTTTTGTTACTTATCTGCAGAATCAAACTCAAGTACACATTGATGTTACCAGGGATCCACTTCCCAGATGTGTGATGTCTGTGTCAACTTCATCTTGGCTAAATTCACTTTGGCAACCATATTAGGCATTACCAATGCCATGCTTTGGAGGAGATGAGGTTAAGGCTCTCCTCAGGCAATGGTAACTGGTGCCCAAAACTTGGGGAGGAGACTGATTCACTGTTGGAACATCTGCATGCTTACAGCTTGCCAGAGGAGCTTGCAAAACCAGGCACCCACCAAGATCTAATTTCATCAGCAAGAACAAGTCTTCTGGAGTATAAAATCTAATTACCATAATAAAGCAGCCAGGTGGGCTTGACAGCTTTTACCAACCCTGCCTAAATGTCTTTTCCTAACCTGAGTGAGGCATGGATGCAGTCTCCACCCTGCCAGCCCTTTTATCCACTCTACCTAGATGCAGTCATGTTTTGTTACCTTTCTGGGGTAGTGATGCTCTGTATTCTTGTTGCTTGGGGGGCAACAGTGGGAGGGCTTCTGGAGTTCTGGCCCCGCTGGTGAACCTCCTGATGGCCCCTGGGTTTTGGCCACTGTGTGACACAGAGTGTTGAACTGGATGGGCCACTGCCCTGATCCAACATGGCTTCTCTTACATTCTTATGCTTCAGTACCTTTTAAATTCCTGTACCTCTATATTCCCCTCAATAAACTCTAAGCCTTGCTTTGGAAAAGATTTGGCTGTTTTGTGGTCACTGGGAGCCTAGTAGGCACTTTAAGCTTGTTTGCCCACTATCCAGGTAAAGATTATTAAATCACATCTTCTGCTCTCCCCCAATTGGTAAGTGTGTCAGTTTCCCAAGCTAGCCAGGCTCTGGAAGTGGAAAAAGGTTTCCCCCTGACACTGAGCTTAATTCTCCCAAACTGGTGGCAGTTCTGGGTGAATGTCCTGAACCCAAGTCAGAGAGTCTGTATCTGTCTAAGAACACATGTGAAAGGAAGCAAGTGTGGTAACATTAAGACTCAATTCATAACTTCAAACATATTTATAATAGGTACAACACCACATATTTATTGCAAATTACTGAATTATGGATAACATTTCAAAACATAAGACTATTAAGGTTTTATTCCAATCAATAAAGACCTAAGGATGTTTTGTATACAAAGGAGTTCCCATAGGCACAAAAGAATGTCCCATTCAAGACAACACAGGTGACCACTACACATGTGTGTTATTATTGACAGCTCAATAAATATTCCAGTGGAGCTCTCAGCACAAATGGACATCTTGTAGGGAGCTATCCCCAACAATATGGGGAAATGTGCGTATAATGGGAATGCCATGGTGTTCATCTGAGTACCTGTGGAACTCAGGACTGGCCTCTACACAAAGAAATATAAATAAATGGGGAGTGTTACTGGAGAAAACATTTGATTTCCTAGTGGCTTTACTCTGAAAAATTCTCAACCCTTGCTTGTTAAAAAGTCAGTATTTACTGATTAGATTAACTAATGGTGTTCCTTGGACAGCAAAGGTGACAAACAAGCAAGTATTGGAGCACATAAAACCAGACATGTAATGGGAAGGGAAAAAAATCACAAAACTGTGACTGACTTATTTCGGCCATGTCATGTGGAAGAACTCACTAGAAAAAGCAATTATGCTTGTATTGGTTAGCAGCAAAAGAAAACTGGGCCACCAAAGAACACAATGGCTAGACACCATAAAAGTCAACACCAACCTGAGCATGGAACAACTCCAAGAAACAGTACAAGATCAGAAAACGTGGAAAGAGCTGGCCCACAGAATTGCCAAGAGTTGGACACGACTGAATGGCTAACAACAACAATGGGGGGGGGGTTCCCCTTTCTCTAGCTTTGGGGAACACATTTTGCTCTTAACTCAGGACAGGCAGGATATAATTTCATCTAATGCAAACTGCTCTTCCAATGAGAGATTTAAGAATTAGGTCCATTACAACACATAGGCGCTCTGTCACTGGGTTTAATTAGCTGCTGTTTATACCCTCCTGTTATTCATTGCATGTATATTGTAACATCTGGTCTTCAAAATGACTCGGGGAGAACTGAGCAAGTTCTTAAATTAATGCAAAATATGCTTTAACTAAACAACAATAGTTTTACTTACTACAGAATCACAAAGTCTACTACTCCCCAAAACAATTCCGTTATAGATGAAATGCTCCAAGAACTCCGACTATCCAACACTCGACCTGTAATATAAAGGAATAACCATGGATTGATACTATTTCACAGCCATAAGTGCTTTTCATTATGCATAAGAGGTATCGGTCACAGAACATGGGCATTTTTGTAGCGTAGAAGGTAGGCAATTCCCTTTATGATATGAAAGTACAAAACTAAACAGTACAAAATGACAAGAGTGTTAAGAAATCCATGTCAATACACATAATATAAAAAACAGCAGCCAGGCTCCAAAGAGCTACTTTAGGAAGTAAGCTTGGGCATGTCTAATGGGACTGACCATTTGCTTTGAATGGCAGACCTGATACCAGCTATCTGCTTTTTAAAGACCATCTTTCTGGTCTTTGCCAGGTGGCATGAAAGGCTTCAGTATGAGAAACACAAGAACCAATCCTTCTTGATGTATGGAAGGAGTTGGTAGGTATTCAGATCACAGCCAAAAGATATTCTTCAGCACTAACTGTTACATTTCATTATATCATATATTGGAAAGACTTTTTCCACTGACATGCATAAATAGTGCTAAACTAGTCATATACAACAAATTCCACTTGCTAGTCTTAAATTTCTGGGTGAACAATACAACAATGATCAAAAACAAAGATTCTTCTTCAAAACTGCTGGTTTTGCACCGCAGAGATCCTAGGATTCCACCACTTGAGCTCACCAGTCAAGTAGCAGCAGTGATCAACACAATACCTGGTACAGTCCCCATGTGGATGTCAGGAAAAGTAGTTCAGTATGTCTGAACTGCAAACCTTTTGGTATAAAAGCAGCCTTAAAATCAAGTTGAAGTATAAATCATGCTAGTGTCAACAGAGCCTACTCCCAAGTAAGCACATCCAGGATTACAGCCCGTGTCATTCCACCTCTGCCCTTTTTGCAGCTATGAAGCAGTGCAGCTACAGTGAAATAATCAGCCTAAGATATTCACCAGAAGGAAGACTAGTTTTTCCCCCCTTCCAGGTCTGCTATCAAGAATAAGAGGGGTGTTACCTTACATTTGCACACAAGTATATACAGTAATAAGAAACTTTTTGTGTATAATATTTTTAGGGGAAGAGTTGTCTTACATTCAGAGTCATCTTCCTTTCAGATAAATATGATTGGTAATCATCAAGAAGGTGCATTAGGTCCCCAGCACATTCCACTTGCAGCTGGCATTTAATTTCATAGTTCTTCTAGTGCTAACACCCTAGTAATAAGAAGCTTGTGTTTGCATTCATCTGTGAGTGACAAAAGCAGATTCAAGCTATCAGTGGTT